TAGATTATGTATTGTATATATTTTTAGGTCCTGAAGAACATTCAGACTTGAATAGAAAACATTAACTTGATTTCCCGAAGTTATTGGTAGTTTCAAATATATTACAAGATCGTATTTATATCCAAGTATGTAAATTCTATATTTGAACAAAATTATTCAAATCTGTGTTTTCAGGGTTTTTGAAGTTATTATCAGTATTATTCTATATTTAATCTGATATATTTATTGATTATATTATACCATTTCCAGACTACAAGTATTATAACTCAATATTCAAACATATCCTAATAGTGATTTGTAAATTAATTAAAATATATTATTTCATTGGAATAAGATTCTTGAATATAAATAAATTAATCGATACTTTTATTGTTTATATCTACACTTTGTATAACCTTTTGGATAATATAATCTTGGATTAGGGGATACAATTTGTATCAGATTTTTGAATTCAATTTTCGGAATGTTTAGGGGTAATTTTCAAATACTCTTCTGTTTTTAATTTATAAACAAAGAAATAAACAGAATATATAAACTCGATTCTGGAATAATATTTATGTGTTTTCGTAAATTTTTATTAAAACGATTGAATAGAATGGTTACCCTTTACTAAATTCGTTTCCAATAACATTGTATCAGAAATCATTGATTATTTAGCCTTCTTTACAAATTATGGATTCAATCTATAATTAGGTATTGAATCTAATAAACCTTGCTCTCCAGATATGACAATAATATAGAAACAGGAATTCTTCAAAGGAAACAAGATAGTCGATTGGATAGAGAGGATATTAAAACAACTCAAGATTCTTGTAAATCAGACAATCATTATATACAAGAAATATACAAATCGATATTGTTCAGATTCCCTATGGTATATTGTTGGGCAATAAGTCTATATTAATATGAAGAATATAAAAATTTTCTGAAAAACTAAGAAATTAGATAATAAATAGATTGGACCATTTATAATCGAAAGGGTATATCTATACTCTTGTTTAATCAAATTATCTGAAAACATATGAATTTTCCTAGTATTTTATTATTTGTTATTAATCCCTATTTACCAAAAATCTCATTTCCCCGGCCAAAAGAAGATTAATAAACCAGAATTCCGAACCATTTGCGATAAAGTTTTTGAATATAATAATAGAGAAATAAAACCTACTCAGAAATAGATTTTTGAAGGAGTTCTTGATAATTATAATGAAGATAATTATTATTATCTAGTGAAGTAAAGATATTATGCTTTGACCTGGCAATTAGTATCCGATTTGAAAAGAAACAAAAAGCTTTTGGTGGAGTACCACGTATTGCATCTAAAGAAGCCTAGCCCACCCACCTAGGTTTTTCAGGACCCTATTATGAAGGGACTTCTAGTCCTAACAAAAGTATCAATTATATAAATATTATTGTCTACCAAATCTGGGCTACAATGTTTTATTAGGGAAAGGAAACTAGAAGTCAGTAATATCAAGTTAAAGAAAAATATTCGATTTAATAACTATATTTATATGATAATCTTTAATAATTACAGTTTTGATAATGAATAATAAATAAAATAAAAGAATTAGGATAGTTTGATATAATTCGTTATAGAAGATAGGGGACTTTATGTTATTTACTACACTGTACACTTATTTGAGAATAAACAAGGTTTGAAGGAAGAGAATACTGTTACAGGTTCATTATCTGTTCCTAGCTAGCTTGGATAGATGCCTTAGGCATCCATCTACCATATAGTCGTCGTCGCTCCGCGCGCCTTCTTCTTTC